ATGTTGGCCTATCTTCACAATATCTTAAGAAATAGTTACAGTGCTGAGTATTTCTCTGTGCAAATGTCATGTGAGGAAATAAAGTCTGATGGTCCTCTGCTGCCACCGATTCTGGGGAGGAGGCTCTGAAATCTGCCAGCCAGTCATTCAAAAGAGAAAAGTCCAAATCAGAGGAAATTGATTCTGGAGACAATGCCCTGTTGCTAAAGAGCTTTTCCAGCTGAAGGTCTGATAACACTGACTGTGGAGATACTGGTCTGTCATCCTCAAAAAGGATGTCCAGACACAAGTATGCCTCTTCCCAGTCTGAAAATGCAGATTCTGGTGTAAATGACCTGTGTCCTGACACTTCCACACTACAGTCAATATGAGTACATGTGAACTGAGGAACAGGTGAGTCAGGAGAGAGGGGCCTGAGTTTACTGTGTGAGTCCACTGACTGTGGAGAATGTGGTCTGAAGTCAAACAAGCAATCATCTATCAAGGAGAATCCACACTCTTCTTCTGATGATCCCGAAGGAGGATAAATATCACGAGATTCAGAGGATAGGATGTTTGGAATTTTTTCTTTTTGTGTTACATGTGAAAGTCCTCGCACAACATCTGCATACGTCAGAGGTCTGTTAGCAGAAATTAGAGGGGATGTCGTAACAGCTGAACATTTATTCTTAGAGTCAGAACTTGAAGCATGTAAGTTTTCATGTCGGACTGAAATGTTCTCCATGTTTTTACCACCTCCTATGGGTGTTTCCTCACCCTTTAATTCCATGTTTTCTGGGGATAATAGTTGTCTTTGTGATACTGGAGCAATTTCATTGTGGAAACTAAAAACATAGTTTGGTCTTTCAGCAAAGTTAAAGACCATAGGTCTGTTTGATGTTTTGTATTGGTTACAATCTGAGTAAGAGTTTTTATCGGATAAGTCATCCAAACAGGAGTCTTCCAAACTATTTTGTTGTGTATATTCTAAGTCATCCTCCATTTCTTTTGGAGATGCCATATCTTTTGATGATTGTGGCACAAATTTAGAATACCAGTAATTAATGTAGGACTGACTTCTTTCATTTCCATTTTTTCTGGTTTTAGAAGTTACTGCATTTAAGAAAATAGTGGAATCTTCATGGGGTCGGGGATTATTTTCTGTTGAGTCATCAGTTTGTCTTTCCTCTGAATTTTGCATATCAACACAATCTGTAAAGTGGATATCAGATATGGAGTCCGGAGTTTTTAGAGCAGTGTAATAAGAAGGTCCTTGCTCTCTAATCAAAGAGCTTCCAGTTTTTACCTCATCTCCAAATACTGCAGTGGAAGAATCAGGTACAAGCGGTGGTGACGATGATATTCCTCCAGAATACAACAAGAAATAATCACAGTATTGTTGCCTAAGCTGGCTGCGGGTTGCTTCTGAGTATAAGAGCTCAAGAAATGAGTAACTACACTGAGAGGACTGGGATTCTGGTGAGAATGGACGACCATCCCATTCTAATCCATAATTAGCTGTAAGTAACTCGGGCGAAAATGCTCTTCTGCTAAAAATTTTCTCACATTCATATTCTGATATCACAGGTGAGAATGTTCCATGCTCTTTCTTTATAAGTCTAACTTCAGGCACAGTTTGACTGATTTTAGGTACTTGAGAGTCAGTGGGCATTGGTCTACACACACCCCAAGACTCAGAGAAATCAGAGGAATTGGGGTGTGAAATTACAGGGATGGTAAAAGCTTTCAGATCAGGCAGTTGTTTGTGTTCATCTGTATGGGCTAGAAACGGATTCAGTTTGTTGTCATTGAAATTTAGTGTAACCTCTGGTGAAATGCATCCGTCAGACAATGGTGAAAGTGCCCGACAGTCTTCTGACAGACTGGAAAAATCTGCAGGTAAAAGCCTTTTTTTACCCAGAGGAGAATCGGGTGACATTGCTCTATAATCACTGACCGACATGACAGATTCAGGAGACGACAGTCTAGAGGTATAGATATTTGATATCCATGCATCTGCTGGGAAGACGTTGCTTTCATTAGCAGGTGAAAGTGAAACGTGGCGTTTCTCAAGCTTTAAAGAATCCCCCGCCAAAGGGCGGTACGCGGTAAAAGCAGAAGCTGATGTTTCAGCCGTCTTATACCCATCTTGTGGCGTGAGATGGCTGAAAACGCCTGAGGTGCCACTCTTTGGCTCAGGGATGTAAGGTGATCGTGCCTCAGCTATGACTTTATCACTGTCTGCACTAAAACAACACCAACTGCAAGACCTATCGGTTGAGTCACAAACCATACCAACAGGACCGTGTTTGGTCCTACTATGTGACGTTTTGTTTGGTTTCACCATGCTGTACTTGGCAGTCGCCCCACTGGATTCAGCAGGCTGTGTATCATCGGTGTCGTCAATGAATGGTATGTGCCCATCCTTTTGTACTTTGGTTTTTGTGCTGTCTTCCTGGCTTGATCTGTGAGATTTGAATTCCACTTTTACGTCTGACACGTGCGGAGTCTCGTGGTGACCACGCTGCACTTGGCAGAAATTGTCTGTAGCCACTCCGGCACTCCTGTCAGAGTGTTTGCTCTTTTGTGCAACATCTGTGTCATCTTCAGTTATCGCAAGAGTTGGGTGGTGGACCTCTGGCGCCACGGCTGACAGATTCGGCTCATAAAGTCTCTTAGCACTGGTTTTGGCCGCCTGTGCTTTGCCAAGCTGAGGTGTACAGCTGAACTCAACACAAAGCTCACTGAAGTCAGTTTCAGCTTTGTCTGACTCTGACAGACTCAGACTAAAGTCTCTGATAGATATGGCTGATTGATGCATAGGAATTCCAGGTGACTGGCCTTGTTTATCTTGATAAACAAACTGCATCTTTGGCAAGGTTTGGCTGCCGTCATCTTTGACTTTTACTGGAGGGACGCCTTGGGACAACCTGAGGAAACGGCTGAAGGCTGGCTGGTGTTTCACTTTGGGGTCATAAATCTGGGTCGCTCCTGCTTCTTTTGAAAAGGGTGGCGTACTTACTTGCGCCTCTGAGACGTTGTGACCCTGAGGTTCTTGTGGCGTCGCATCCTCAGACAGCCAGAGTTGAGAGTTCAGCTCACTATGGAAAGAAAAACATGAATTTGTTATGATAAAGTAGGATTTGGTGACATTTCAATTTTCATTTTTGAATAGCAAAAACAACTTAAGCAATTAGACCCCTCCTCGCCACTGTCTCCACATTTCCCTCTGCATTTGTCTGCAACAAGGTGAGCTTCATTGCCTCCAACTGTTCCTAACACTTGCCCTCAAACCAACTTTGTTTTCAACATGACACAATTCTTAAACTTTGTATGATGGGCAAACCGTGCCCCATTTCGATTTTGCCAGACACTAATTATCATTTCAAAACTGGTTTAATGTTTGCAAGCATGTACCAAACAATTACCTACTGGGTCATACACAACTCAGTCTCTTGATTTTGTATCAGACTTCATATCAGAAATGTTGAAAACTAAAACTGAATACTAACGAAGTTGTCAGTAATGAAGACCAACTTATGATGTAAGTGGTTTTACATATGATTTATGGCTAATTATGGGGCGGCATGGTCGTGTGGTGGTTAGCATCGGTTGGAATCCCTGGGGGACATTTCTGCGTGGGTTTGCATCATGTACTCTGGTTTCCTCCCACTGTCCAAAAACATACATGTTAGGTGAATTGAACAGTCTAAATTGCCCCAAGGAGTGAATGTGAGTGTGTGTGGGTGTTTGTCTATGTGAGGCCCTGTGATGGACTAGCAATGTGTCCAGGGTGTATCCTGTTTTCAACTGGAAATGGCTCCAGCCCCCTCAGAATCGTACTCGGAATAGCAGTATAGATAATGGATGGATGGGTTATTACATGGGTTATTAGAAATTATGCATTAAATTTATGGGGTTTTAAAGAAAGCACGCTAGCTGGATAAATCAAGAGTAAAAATCAAATATGTTTACTGTGGGATCTCGAGCTCCTCTGACAGGTCTCCGTGCATGCTCTCTGAGTGGATGTTTCCCACAGGCTCCGCCCAGGAAGGAATATCGAGCAGGGAAGCAACCGAGAGGTCTTCTTCAGAGACAGCAGGAGGCGGTCGGCGATCGGACTCAACCCTTCTCACTATTCTGGGGCTGTCTGCGTCTTCTTGCACTGAAGATAGGGCTACTGACACTAAACGAGAGACACATTCAGTCAGAGCACAAACAAAGACTCAGCTGGGAATGGGGTCGGATCAAGCTTTCAGTGGGTTCTACTACCTTCACTGTGATCCAGGGTCTTCTCTATCTCTGCATAAGTCCTGGATGTCTGCTCTTGAACAGACTTGTTAATCTGGGTTTCAATGAGATGCACTATGTCCATGCGGTTGATCTTAGTTAGTCTCTTAATCAGACTGTCCTCTGTGAAAAGATAATCACTTCAAATTAGAATAAAATTAATTCAATTTTACCAGCACAATAAATGAGGTTAAAAGTGAAACAGAATTTTAAATTTAAGAATTGACATTCAGAGTAAGGTTTTTCTTTCTCAGCTTTCCAACATTGCCACGTTTTCCTGTCACAATAGTTTGGAAGGACCCAAGTAAAGAGCCAGCAGCAATTTAAATGCACACTTTTATAGTTGAGGTCGCTGTTTTTAATCGCCCATCACCCAAAAATGCAAACCATAGAAAATGTTTTGTGAAACTACAAAAAAACCCTTTCAGGTCTGACTGGCAAAAAAAAAAAAAAAAAAAACTACACAGAGTTTAATACATATTCTGGGGTTTTCTTTGCAAGCTATCTTAGTCATAGATTATGTTGCCAGTTTTCCACAGCCTCAAAAGGTTGACAATTTAAAAAAGAGGCAGAATCAGCTTTATCTTTGCTCCAATGACATGAACAAATATGTGTGGTGATGTAGATGTTTGTACTGATATATGACCAGAGAAAAAAAAGTCTGTTTGAAAAATTTGGGGGAAATTATTGATATACTAGCTTACCCTTTTATTTTTGTTCTGTAGCCTAAAGAACACAACAGACAGAAAATCTCATGTGAACTTGTCAGGAACAACTGCAAAGTACCTGTAGCATGTTTGCCTTCTCTGTCAACCCAGCGCTGCAGCAAGGCATGGCTTTGCTCTTGCAGAGAATTAGGATTCTCTGATCTCACCAGCCGAATATCCTCGTCATTGAATTCAAGTTCCCTAGCCAACTCTGAAGTGATAGAAAAGAAGGGAACTTATGGCAGAAACAAAACAATACACAGCCTATTGTGTCTTTTGCTTTCGCGATGGGGTTAACAATGCTTCTCTGAGAGCAGGTTGATATTAAGAAAAAGTTT